ATCAGCTCATTGCCTACTTGACAAAAGGCTGACATGCTAAACTTGAGCTGATGTTGTAGCATCAAATAGGCTATAGGATGCTCAATTGCTCAGAAACTTACAGTAGATATAGCGTGCTTAGGCTCATGAGAATAGTCTCAATGAGAGTTATCTAAAAAATTCGTGTCCGCGAGTAATTAAAAAAAAATGAAATAAAATTAATAATTTTCATTAACGCCCGACTCAAAAAAAAACTATAAAAAGTAAAAAATAAAATTTCGGGCCTTCTTGGGCTTTTATTTTCACTAAAAGTATCTAGGTACTTATTAATATTTTGACAATGAGCGTCGCCGTGTAGGGGTCAGCTAAGTTAGATCCGGTTTCAATTGCAGGCGGTTTTAATACCTCTTAAAATTAGTTTTCCTAACATGCTGAGACCACTTTTGCATTGACTTGCTTAGTCTAGTCCCTCGTCTCGGTATCGTTTGTTAGAGAACACTATCATTTATGTTAGGTATCATAAATCTATACAGATAAATTGAAGTGTCTGTTTGTAATGTCAAAATAACAGCTTTTTACTAAATGGATATGGAATTATATACGGTATTTATAAGAAAAGCATAATTTTAAAAATTTTTATTTGTCTGTTTGTTCCAGCTAATCTCCGAAACGGCTGGGCCGATTTTGACGGGACTTTCACTGGCAGATAGTTGATGTTATAAGGAGTAACTTAGGCTACTTTTATTTCAGTAAAAGAATTAAAATTTACCTAAGGACGAACCCGAGCGAAGCGAGGGTGAGTCGCTAGTTATATAATAAGAACACAATTATCTACTCCATTAATAGTTCATTAGGTACATAAATGTAAAGCTGTAATATAAAGGCTATTTGAAATATTCGCATCCAATTATTAGAAATATTATGGTTTTATTTTTCCTATAGGCACTCTCACAATAAATGATAATTTTGAAATATTTTATATTTATTAGAAAACTTTCTCGAAATTGGGACAGTAAATATTTTAGCTTATCTACAATTTTTGTACAAAAAACCTTTCATGTCTATAACTCATTCAGTTTTAAAGAAAATAAGCTAAGAAAATATACTCAACGAAAAAAAATACATATTAAAATATATGGTAATGTTTAACACTCATAAGCATGGAGTATTTTTGAAGACACTCATGGCATTGCCCTTATTACATATAGCAGGTCACCTTCAAGTTATTTTTAATAACTACTTTTATAAAAACTAAATACAACAAACACGATGGCAACAGCAGATATATCACGTTAAATCCAGAAATGTATGATCCCATTAATCAATATTAAAAATATTCATTTACCGTCTATTTAAATCAATAAAGTTCAGATGACATCACACTAGCAATAAATGTACACGGATGTGGTTTTTTACTTGAGATGCACTTAGACGTATCGTGACCCACCGTAAAGGTAAACTCATAGACACAGTGACAAAAAAGATCAATGATAAGCTGTTTAAATATTTTTTAAATCATGTTTTTTATTATATGTACATATGTCATGATTACTTTACAACGACTTCTATAAGGTTTGATAGTGTTTTTAAACTATCTATTTCGATGTAGGTTGATTGGACTTGTAAACTCAACCTTGTGGCCATAAGTTCGGTCATATATCTATAGATATAATAAAATTCTAACTGAGTCAAATCTGTACATAAAATATTTTTTTTAGAAAATCTTATTGAAATAGCCATTATTATCGATACAGAGGCCGAATCTATAGTTTTTAGAATTTTTGTCTGTCTGTCTGTGACCGCATCACGAGAAAACCACTGGATAGATTTCGATAAAATTTGGTACGATAATAGCTGGTTATTCGGGTTTAATATATAGGATACTTTTCAGTGCAGGAAAATATCTCATCTCTGAGAAATCTATACTAAACTTTAAAACGTAAATATATATAAAAACATATTATGTCATATACGAATGGAATTTATCTATCTATGTAAAACTTTTTCCATTTTTTTTGTTTGACAACACTAAAGCCCATCAATAGCTACTAAACAAAAAAAAACAGTTGACAATTAATTTTCGAAGTCGGTGCCAGCCGATACAAATCAAACCACACCAACTTCGATAATATCTGATTAGGTAATGACAACTACCAATCACTTATTTTTTACTTTTTTGTGTTTTTTTTTTGCAGTCAGTTTTTACTTAATTTTTTTTTTGTTTTTTTTTTTTCTAATAGTACAGGCACGGTAATGTAATTGTAACATTACCGTGGTACAGGCTTAAACTACGTAATATGTATAACTCATTATTCTCTTCCGTTTTAAATTTTAAGTGAAGAAAAAAATATTATTGTTAAATTAAAAATATATCCTAGGTGATAATAGATTTAATTATTAACATCTTTCGTTCACGTACCATTAATATAATTTTTTTTATTAATTACTAACTTCTTAGCCTCACAATGCTCATTTCGTTCGTAGATGACTAACGTGTTATCCAAGTTTATCTGTGTACTAAATTTCATCCAAATCGGTCCAGTCGTTTAATAGTAAAAGAGTAACAAACGTACACACATACAAACTTTCGAATTTATTATAGAAGTCCGATTTGAAAAACCATCGCAACACATATTATGTGAAAATAGTATAGCGGTAGTACGAACACAATAGTTCAAAAATATCTCACTAGTCCATTCTGGTGAACCAAATTAGCCATATTTTCTTATTACGTGCAGATTTATAGATGTAATTACCCACAAGTGTTAAGTATTCTTAGTAAGCTATTAACGGCATGTATATAAATTAACAATTTTATAAACACGAGGCTTAATTACTCACAGTATTTTCATTTGCATTTAGTATAACTTAAATTAAAAAAAAACCGACCATCTAGGACCGATTTTTATCAAACATAGCTAAGAACACTCCCGACTAATTCCCCTTTCAAACAAAAAAAAAACAAAATCAAAATCGGTTCATCCGTTCGGGAGCTACGATGCCACAGACTGACACACACAGAGACACGTCAAACTTAATATACTCTTATTAACGATAGTATGCATATTGACTTTTTTTTATAAAAATCGATCATGCCCTGGTTACCGTCTGGTTTAGTATTGGGCATATTTTCTTGCGTGTAAAATATCGAAGATTCGATTTCTTAGAGAGTACAAAATGTTATTGCGCGTAACATTCTCTTTTTGAAGCTTACAATCCAGTCTCATGTAGCTTAACTGATAAAAATATAATGTCCACCTAACCAATTTCGGTTACGGTGGCCAAAATTTTAAACTATAGCCTGCAACTGTACTGGATATATTATATGCTTAAGTTCATGCTATGACACACGTGCACTCTCTCTTATATAGACAACTCGACATGACGGCTTAGATTAGACGCAAAATGCAAAAACATAACATGCTCTCTATTTCGGGACAGAGAAAAATTAACTAGTTTGGTCTGACCCCGGACTCGAACCCAGAAAGAACCTATAAAAAATGATACATTTTTAATACGTAATAAATATATAGTATGTACTTAACTGTTAGTGAAACAGTCAAGTCTGACCTTCAGCCTTGGAAGTACCTCTTACAAACATGATTTTATCTACCAACTCCTCTAATGCGCGCATCGCAAAAAATATTAATCGTGTAACCAAAATATATGTAGGACATTGGCGTAAAAATGGCTTTGCATATTATTTTACAAATTTCATTTTATCTACTAACGGCTCACGCTCGCTTCATTCGAGTTTGTCTCTAGAAAAACAAAACAAAAATATACTACTTTACTGAAAGTGGCGATTTTTCTTTAGCGACGTGATTTTACATACAACCATTCCTGCCAGCTAAAGATTGCGATGAGCTGATAATTGATAGATTAGGAAGCGCCAAATGGCAAAAATAAGCAACATTTATGTGGTTTTTGTGCTATAATATTTTTAATTAACGTGATTATTTTTATAAACTTATAATTAAAAAGGCAACAAAAAGTGTAAAATCCCTAATGCGGTGTAAATAAATATATTATAATCTGGTACTTCCCATTTTTTAACTTTTTTTGCTCATTACAAAAACCTTTAAATTATTATTGCTCAAAAATTAATATTTTATTAAAATCCTCATGTAATAGATTATTAATTTTTAAATCTATACGAATAATAAAATTCTAACTGAGTCGAATCTGTACATTAAATATTTTTTTTGGAAAATCTTATTGAAGTAACTCATTATTATCGATAGGCCGAACCTATAGTTTTTAGATTTTTTGTCTGCTTGGGAACGCATCACGAGAAAACTTTTGTTGAAATTTGGTATGATGATAACTGGTTATTCAGGTTAACATATAGGATACTTTTTACTGCGGAAAAATATCTCATCACGATGACGACTTGTTTGGCTCAGTTTGCAGTGACCGCTGCTACTTGCTGTGCCAGCGGTCGCGGGTTCGAGTCCCGCTGGGAGCATTCATTTGTGTGATAAGCCCAAATGCTTGTATTGTAGTTTGTAGTTATATATGTGTAGTATATCAATTATCTGATATCCATAACACAAGCCTCGTAGCTTAACGTGAAACTAGATGGTGCTGTGTTAATGTCAATAATAAAAAAAATTAAAAACATCTCTGAAAAGTCTGTCCTAACTTAAAACATAGGGACGAATCCGAACGGATCGAGGGTGAATCGCTAGTAGCTTATATAACAAATACTTTATAAAATTTCCCTAATAGATAGATAGAACAAAGCATTTAAAAAATTCCATGGCTTATAAAAAATAATAAAAGCATATTGCGTCGAAATTAAAGGTGGTTTTTCCTTAAGTATTTCTAATGTCAATGTACGTTTTCTCTAAAACGCGAACGATTCCATATACTGTAGTAGTAAATTTTAACTCGCTCGATTTCTCAGTATTTTGTTGCTACATTGTTCTTTGAACTGGCTTTGATCGCGTAGATTATGATAAGTAAAGATGTATAAAAGGATGATAAAATGTATTCGCAACTAGTTTGTGAACACAATCATGAGGCGACCGTTCTGTTTTGTTTTTGCTATCTTGTTGGTCTCCGTAAATGCCTCGGGTAAGTTAATCGTCTTTATAATATATAATACACAAGTATAATTTTTAAATATAATTTCTAATATCATACTTATTTATTATGATAGCCAATATACAGTTTGACTATACAGTGTTAAAAATATTTTAAAACATCACCAATTTGCAAAGTTTTATCAATTGCTGCGCACTAAAGTTCCAACTTCGAATTTAGTTTTTTTGTACAGTATATTAAATATGCCTTTATACTGGTGTTTAGAGTATTTATTACTTTTGTCCATAAAAACATAAGACATATTTTTCATCATTTATTTATTTAAGCTTGACTATGATTTTAATGTAAAGTTTTCGTAAATATACTCTTAGGTATACTCCTATTTTATATTCATGGAAAATATACAACAATATTCTTATGTGATTTCAGAAAGAGTACGTAGAGGCTACGGAGGCGGCGGTGGAGGCGGCGGCGGTGGAGGATTCGGTTTTGGAGGTGGTAGTGGTTTCGGATATGGAGGAGGCGGCGGTGGCGGCGGTGGCGCCGGTGGCGGATTCGGTGGCGGTCTAGACGCAATCCGTGATGGTGTCCACGGAATTCTTGGCAAAGTCCACGATGGTTTGAACAACATTGGAGGCGGTTTTGGTGCCAGTGGTGGAATAGGCGGTGGCCTAGGAGGTGGGGCTGGCGGCGGTGGTGGCCTAGGAGGTGGAGGTGGTGGCGGTAGTGGCCTAGGAGGCGGAAGTGGTGGAGGATTAGGCGGTGGAAAGGAGAAAGTTATCTACACCAAATCTGATGATGGAAAATCTGGCGGTTTTGCCTTCACTGGCACAACAGGCAATGGTGGATATGGTGGCGGTGGTGGTTACAGTAGTGGAGGAGGTGGAAGCGGCTATGGAGGCGGATCTGGATTTGGAGGTGGTGCTGGTGGCGGTTCTGGTGGTGGAAAAGGAGGATTTGGAGGCAACGGCGGAGGCTCTGGCGCTGGTAATGGAGGTGGCCTTGGCGGTGGTAGTGGTGCCGGTGGTGGCCTAGGTGGTGGCCATGGAGGATCTGGCGGATTTGGAGGTGGCTTGGGCGGCAGCGGCCACGGTGGCTCTGGAGGATTTGGAAGTGGAAATGGTGGTGGACTAGGAGGAGGAAACGGTGGCTCTGGAAGTGGAAGTTACGGCGGGTCTAGTGGTGGTGGATTTGGAGGTGGTGCCGGTGGTGGAGCTGGCGGTGGATTAGGAGGTGGAAGTAGCGGAAATGGTGGATCTGGTGGCTATGGAGGTGGATCTGGCATTGGAGGAAGCTCTGGCCTCGGAGGAGGCTCTGGTGGCGGTCTTAGTGGTGGTCACGGTGGATCAGGAGGATTCGGAGGCGGCCAAGGAGGATCAGGCAGTTTCGGTGGTTCAGGAGGTTTCGGTGGCTCTGGAAGTCACGGCGGTGGATCTGGATTCGGAGGAGGATTAGGTGGTGGACTCGGCGGTGGATCGGGACTTGGAGGAGGTTCAGGTGGTGGACTTGGTGGAGGCCACGGCGGATCAGGAGGCTTAGGCGGAGGACATGGTGGATCTGGTGGTTTTAGCGGGGGTTTTAGTGGATCCGGAGGATTTGGAGGAGGTGCAGGAGGTGGTTTAGGTGGAGGTGCTGGTGGTGGTCATGGAAGCTCTGGTGGTCTTGGAAGTGGGGGAGACGCTGGTGGATTTGGTAGTGGAAGCGGAGGATATGGTGGTTCAGGAGGTTTAGGTGGTGGACTCGGAGGCGGTCTTGGTGGAGGATTGGGTCTTGGCGGTGGACATGGCGGCGGTCTTGGTGGATCTGGAGGTGGTTCCGGTGGATACGGTAGTTCTGGAGGAATTGGAGGTGGACACAAAGGCCTCGGTGGAGGTTCTGGCGGCTATGGTGGATCGGGAGGTGGAGGAGCAGGTGGCTGCGGGTCTGGATCCTGTGGTAGATGTGGATCAGGTTCATGCGGTGGTCACAGTGGAGCATTCGCTTCGGCCTCTGCTTCAGCAAGTGCTGGCTACGGAAAATAATTTGAATGTTTAGTAATAATATTATATAACAAGTACGATTAGATTAATAATTATCGTAAACGCTCGATTGTATAAATCATATAACTAAGCATAACAACAAACTTTTCGATATAAATAAATGACGTAAGAATATTAACATACTTGCGAGTTATAGATGTTTACGGATGTCATCATTGAACAGTGAAAGATATAACAATGGATCATAGACATTCGTCATTAAATATAGTAGGAGGAATTAAAGTCAAACGAACACTGTGATTGTTTTATATATATACATAATATTATATATAGTCAATAAAATATAAGTTATTCAAATGCAATATTCACGTATTTTATTTATTTAAAAACCATAGATATAAGTAATTTAGTAATCAATTTACTGGCTTTTTCATTCATTGTTGCATAAAGATTGTGAACGTAATGATATATTTTAATGAGGTTTTAATAAAAAGTTGTATAAGTAATTTTAAATGCTATGAAAATTTTATAATCTAGTAGGTAATAGTGAAAAGCCATTTTTGAAATGACCAAAGATGATTTAAATTAAAATTATATTTTACTTTAATAGATAGGTAAACAAAATATGTAAATTAAAGTTTGAATTACATTAAAAATTTAAAATATATTTATTAAAAGTTTCTATGTTAAAATATCATAGAGTTTGACAATACTGAAAATAAAAACTTATATACATACTTCACAATCTTTTGTTTTTTTAGGATTCCGTACACGAAGGGTGCCAGCGGAACCCCATTACTAAGCCTCCGCTGTCCGTCCGTCTGTCTGTCAGAGGGTTGTAAATCATGAACCGTAATAGGTAGAGAGTTGAAATTTCTACAGAGTATGTATGCCTATTGCCCCTATAACAACAAGTAATAAAAAGAAATAAAAATAAAAAAATACAAGAAACCTTTTTTTAACGTTATGAACTACATACATAGAGTAAAATATAATATAAGAGCAATATTAATTAAAAATAACATGAACAATGGTACGGAACCCTTCGTGTGCGAATTTGACTCGCACTTGACCGATATTTTTTCATAACTTACCTAAGTACACTGATTAAAATCTTAAACATATGTCTAGAGCACGTGTTATTTCTTTAACTAAGCTAAATAAAAGTACAGCTACGTATAAAACACAGAGAAATATAAAAAGCTGTTACATAAAAATATCAAGTGATTCATTTTTTATATTATATATTAAAGTTGTTTTGTTTTTGCTTCACAACATAAAAAATATCTTTTAATTTTAGAAATACTTTATATTTAAGGTATATTGAATCTAGAAGCCGATCTCTTCGTTATTATATACCTAATAATTGATATGAGTTTGTTACTTAAGATATTTAATATGTTTTGAGATAATTATATAGAACTTATATAAATATTGCTGCTATTATTATAAATTATATACTAATTATATATTATAATTGAGACCTTTAATCTATGCTCTGTAATCAGTAAACTTCCGATGATAGGGTTTCTTAGTTTTTCACGTACGAGTATGAATCTCCAAAGTTTGGTAAGCTCATATAGGTTATAATGCGATAGTAAATTAAATTTAAGAATTAAATAAAAAAGAACTAAATAATATAAACAAAATAGTAAACTATAGAGTTTTCTAACAATTTACTCCTCTTTACTGAACATACCAAAACGCGGGAAAACTAACTTTTCCACAGATTAAATATATATTAATATAAATAAAAAATATCTATATAATTTTCACAACCGAAGGCTTTTACAGTTTGTTTCTAATATGTAGACATTCGAAAGTCGGACAATCGACACAGTAGCTGTATTTAAAAAAAAGATGTCTGTGTACTTATGTACGCACGTAAGGACTTCTTTGTTTTTTAGAGCATTTAAATTTTAAATAAAAAGTTGTTAATTATTTTTTTATTCGCATTCTTCTCAACAAACTATTTCATTTGATGTCCATATAATGCACCCCACATACAAAAAAACATAGTCCGCCATCTTTGTGCGGCTCCACCCGCGTTCAGATGTCCAAGGACCAAATTCTTAGGTTTTACATATTAGTATACTCTTAAATTGCAGTTTTTGTGTTTTTTCTTAGAAATGAGATATTTTCCCGCGGTAAAAAGTATCCTATATGTTGACCCGGATAACCAGGTATCATCTTACCAAATTTCATCAAAATCCCTCCAGTAGTTTTTCCGTGATGCGGTAACAGACAGACAGTCAGACAGACAGACAGACAAAAATTCTAAAAACTATAGATTCGGCCTCTGTATTGATAGTAATGTCTATTTCAATAAGATTTTTTTAAAAATATTTAATGTACAGATTTGGCTTAGTTACAATTTTATTATATGTATAGATGACGTCACTTTGCTTATTGTGTTCCGCTAATCAAACCCTTTCGTTTGATGCCTACATCATACGGATCACTATGGAAATGATAAATCGCCATTTTGTAAAGTCCACCATACTGACCGTGTGTCCGGTTTTTCTTTTAACCAAACACGTGTTTTATTAAAAGAAAAATCGGAATAAATCTGTTGAATATAGACATCTCTTCCAACTATACTAAAGTGAGATTTAACGACTAACTTCATACTGTAGTCTAAATCTGTGGCATCGTAAAAAAATCTCTCTCATCATTTTTTCCCTAATGCGCCAAAAGAATTATAAATCAAAAATTTAAAAAAATCGTATTCGATTGAACCCAGATTCGGTTCATCTGTAGTATATACATACAGTACATTATTTTAATACAGGATGTCCCAGGAAGAAGTGTCAAACGAAAGTCTAGACATAGAGAACTCCCAAGAGTTCTCCAAGGGGTGATTCGGGTAACCCGAGGGTGCTCTATCTTGGACTTCCGCTTGACACTACTTCCTGGGACATCCTGTATAAATAAACTGCATTTAAAGAATATTTACTTATAAATAATTATAAGCCAACATTACAAATATCCGAATCTAATGGAAACCTTAAACCTTTAAAATTTATACGTATACAATATACGTACATACATATATCAGAGTCACCGTGACTCCGATGACACTGAATAAATGCTAATATTGTTGTATAATAGATCAAAGATGCGATAAATTATTCAATAGATGGAAAATCCTATTATTTCTTACACAAAACAATACCATACAAGTTTAATTATTGTAGATATACTCGTAGTTGTACTACTACTTTTAATAAATAATTTCAATTATAGTTACATTGTGTCACAACATACCTATATTTATAATTTTTTATTTGAAATTTTTATCACAGTATCTTTTAGGAGAGAATATTTTTTTTCTCCATTCTCCAGAGGTATAGACATAATAACATGTAGAGTTACGCACATACATCCACTTTGGTCATAAATAAAAATCTCTTATCTCTATTATGATTTATGTTAAACATACTAAATATAAGTTACCAGCTATCACCCTACCAAATTTCATCAAAATCCCTCCAGTGCTTTTTCCGTGATGCGGTAACAAACAGACAGACAGACAAAAATTCTAAAAACTGTAGATTCGGCCTCTGTATTGATAATAATACCTATTTCAGTAAGATTTTCCAAAAAAAATTTAATGTACAGATTCGGCCCAGTTACAATTTTATTATATGTATAGATATTTAATTATAAATAAATTTTTAATTTTAATTATATTTAAAGACCGATAATATTCGTCATGGTCACTGATTAATATCTTCCTGACCAATTTTAAAACCAAATAGGAACATATATCTAACTAAAATAAAATTAGGGGGGACTACCAACACTCCAATTACTCTGGGCTGATACTGATTTTATTCTGATTTTTGACCCGGAGTCGAATCCAGGACCTTTGGATCTGCAGCGTCCAACGGGACGTTCGGGACAGTTATATCACTAATACTTATTATTATTAACTCTCTCGGTGGTGTAGTAGCCAGCATACGACTGCACATGCGAAGGTTCCGTATATATTTAATTTTTTCCCCTAACATTGATAGATTATAACGAATCAAATCATATCAATAGAAAGCATTTACTAAAGAATTTTGATTTTTCTTGTCACAATTTAAATACTATAAATAGATGTTAATAATAATTCTGCTCAAATTTTGTTGCTGAGCTCCAGCTCATATTTTAAATTATTATCAGTTGATTGAATCAGAGAGGAAATCGAACAAAGGATAGATATTACATACTACTTCGTTTCGTACTAATAATGATTATATTGTTACTGCTCCGAAAAAATCAAGGTGCTTGACTGAATGTTGAACAAAAAATATTGCTTTTTGTTAGTGGTTTTAACACGTGTAGATTCTTAGTAATCGATTTTATTGAACACTTCATATTATATAACATGGAGTAATATTTTTACAACTGTGCACCCAAAAATTTATTTTGAGAATAGCCACATTTCTTTTATAGAGTTCAATTTTTTTTTATCTTATACATACATGTTCTTTACGAAACTTCGGCGAAGCAGAAAAAGAAAGTTATGTGTATGACATAATTCTATTTTACAGCTCCGTATGTTTATAAGTATATATATCTGACTCTATGTCCCCTTGTAATTATTAATGGCTAAACCGATTTTAATGAATTATATAATAAAAATAGCCCGTAAATGTGCGTGATAACGCTAGTGTCAAAAAAATTTAAATCTATACGAATAAAAGTGTAGCTGACTGCTGTCTGTACATGAAAGTTATTCGAGAAAAAATATTATGGGGGGGTCTCTATAACGCAATAGAACCCAAATAAATGGTTTTAAATTTTTTGTGTTTTTCTGTTTGGTTGTGCGTTTTTACGCGCTAATCTCAGAAACAGCTTAACCCATTTGGTTTCACTTTTCACTAATGTATTGTGGTAAGCTTCACTTAACATTTAGTATTTGTTTTATTTCAATCAGTTCATATATAAAAAAAATGTCAATTAAAAGAGCCATCTAGGGACGAACCCGAGTGAAGCGAGGGTGAGTCGCTAGTCTATACAGATAAATAAAATTGAAGTGTCTGTTTTTA